TGAATACCATCTTCGCCCGCGATCCCTATAGGGCCACGATCACCGTGAGGGGTGTGCCGAAATGGCCCGAGGCCGCCATGCGAACCCTGCCACTGGAGCCTTGGGTGGAGCTCCCTATGGGGCCACGATCCCGTGAGGGGTGCGCCGAAATGGGGCGGGACGGCCATGCGAACCCTGCCACTGGCACCCTGGGTGGAGCGCCCCACGGGGCCACGATCCTCGTGAGGGGTGTGCCGAAATGGGGCGGAGCCGCCATGCGAACCCTGCCACTGGCGCCTTGGGTGGAGCTCCCTATGGGGCCACGATCCTCGTGAGGGGTGTATGTACCGAAATGGCCCGAGGCCGGCATGCGAACCCTGCCGCTGGCGACTTCCGTGGAGCTCCCTATGGGGCCGCGATCCTTGTGAGGGGCGTGCCGAAATGGCCCGAGGCCGCCACGCGAACCCCGCCACCGACGCCCTCGGCGAAGCCCCCCACGGGGCCGCGGTCCTCGTGGGGGGTGTGCCGAAATGGCCCGAGGCCGCCGTGCGAACCCTGCCGCTGGCGCCTTGGGTGGAGCTCCCTATGGGGCCACGATCCTCGTGAGGGGTGTGCCGAAATGGCCCGAGGTCGCCATGCGAACCCTGCCACTGGCGCCTTGGGTGGAGCTCCCTATGGGGCCACGATCCTCGTGAGGGGTGTGCCGAAATGGCCCGAGGTCGCCATGCGAACCCTGCCGTTGGCGCCTTGGGTGGAGCTCCCTATGGGGCCACGATCCTCGTGAGGGGTGTGCCGAAATGGCCCGAGGCCGCCACGCGAACCTTGCCACTGACGCCTTCGGTGAAGCTCCCTATGGGGCCACGATCCTCGTGAGGGGTGTGCCGAAATGGCCCGAGGCCGCCGTGCGAACCCTGCCGCTGGCGCCTTGGGTGGAGCTCCCTATGGGGCCACGATCCTCGTGAGGGGTGTGCCGAAATGGCCCGAGGTCGCCATGCGAACCCTGCCACTGGCGCCTTGGGTGGAGCTCCCTATGGGGCCACGATCCTCGTGAGGGGTGTGCCGAAATGGCCCGAGGCCGGCATGCGAACCCTGCCGCTGGCGCCTTCGGTGGAGCTCCCTATGGGGCCACGATCCTCGTGAGTGATGTGCCGCATTGGCCCGAGGCCGCCACGCGAACCCTGCCACTGGCGCAATCGGTGAAGTTCCTATGGGGCCGCGATCCTCGTGAGGGGTGTGCCGAAATGGCCCGAGGCCGCCATGCGAACCCTGCCACTGGCGCCGTCGGTGGAGCTCCCTATGACGATCCTCGTGAGGGATGTGCCGAAATGGCCCGAGGCCGCCATGCGAACCCTGCCACTGGCGCCTCGGTGGAGCTCCCTATGGGGCCACGATCCTCGTGAGGGGTGTGCCGAAATGGCCCGAGGCCGCCATGCGAACCCTGCCACTGGCGCCTTGGGTGG